GCGGTACATGTATTCCGTTACTCCCCAACACTGCCTGCAGGTTTTAGATATCCACCTGGGGTCAACACACCTGAATCAAATGATTAGTTCATTACCAGGCCTCGGGAGAACTTCAAGGCATGTTGCGGAAGTAATTTAGCCATTTATCTGCTGTGATGGATCAAGGACAAATCTAAAGCCTGCAGGAAACTTGTTGGACACCCCTGAGTTAGGGTTTCTCAGGTGACTTGGAGATAAACATAACATACTGCAAAAAATTTAATTGGCATATATTTTTTATTATCTTTATTACTAAATGTTGATGTTATTCAAATATGTTAAAAGATAGTGTGTACAGAATTTTTTTTACACAAACAGTAGAAACACACCAGCCACCCATGGCTGTTCTGCGGTACCGTCTGGATTTAACGTTGTCTGATCTCTCTCGGCTGACTAAAACACATTTGTCCTACGGTGACCACCACAGCTTGGATTATGTATGTGAATTGGTAGTGGAAAGACAACAGAATTCAGTTGACTTAAACTGCAATCTACTGACATCTAGTGGTGAGATTTTACACACTCTACCTTTAAAACACATACTTGGGCAAGGGATGTCAAAAACCCATTGTATTTCAAGACCCACATAAACACTTTAAACTTAAATTAGTTTAAAGTGTTATGTTTGTATTTCAATACATATTTTGTGCATTTTTAATCTTGTAGTGAAATATCCCTAATATTGTATTTTTTAGGAATTTTAGGAATGCATATGTTGGCTTTTTTTCCAATGATGGCATAATAAAATAGCCACTAAGACTTCCTTGTTTCTTGCCACCCATGTAAAACTGGCATTGCTCTTTCAATTGCAGGAAAACAAGTTAAGGAAATGAACACTTAAAAGTTTGAACTCATGGCTTCAGTCATATTTGTTGTGCTCAACTGCACTCCCCAGGGGATCATCAACAAGAAGTGAATCGTTTGCATAGTTTTACATGCCCATTATCTGTATAAATTTTAAAAAACAAACAAAAACAAAGTGTAAGTGTGAACCTAAAACAGCATCCTACACATACAAGAAAAAAGTTAATATTCCCAATTGTATCAATAGTTTATTACATACCATCTCATAAAAACATTTTCAACTTTTTCCACATATAAACACCGCAAATTGGTACATTTACAAATCTTCAACCATCCAAATTCATACAAAAAAGGAACACTGTGATAGAGCAATACACAAGACGGTCTATTATTACAAGGACGGCATGTACTCTGTGTATGTATGCATGTATAAACCTCGGCATGTAAGAATCTCTGTGCATGTGCGTTTGGCTATAAAGTCCAGATATTGTGATCAAATATTTACTTTGATCAAATGTGGATTAAAACCAGTGGAGACACATATACAAGTTAAACATTTTGGATGTCAACCTGATTTAGGCACTGGTGACAGGCTGATTAGGAATGAGGTAACCTGATCAGCCGTTGGGTAATACTGACACCACAGTAATTTACCAGTGTGTGACTTCTCAGAATAAAATGTTATCTACATTAAGGACCTTTTTCCATCGCTGTATTACAGTTAAAAGTTAAGTTTTAACCACAGAACAAGAAATTGTACTAGATATTCCTAACTCACCCAAAATCAATTCATGTTTACTGTATGACACAAACCACAAAGACACCCCTTATTTTTAGTTTTTCTTTTTTCCTTTTTTTTTGTCACCATGATGCTAGTTTCAAAAAAAGTGAGTCAAAAATGGTCATGCACACACTCACACAGGCGCGCACACACTCACACATACGCACATGCAAATAAATTAACATGGAAAAAAGTAAACAATTTCCAAATGACAAAAAAAAGAAAGAAAAGAAAACCAAACCCAAAACATCTTTTTGGTTGGGTTTTAAAATGTGTGGCTAAATGCAAAAAATACATAAGATAGCAGCTTAAATCATGGTACATTCACATGAGTTGTTTACTACTACTAATCTTAGTGGCATAAACAAGGTAAAAGTATTCATGGTACACATGTTCCAGGCTGATCGTGCAGAGTGGAGACCGAGGCTAAACTGAATATTGATGTGCAATTTCGGAAACCACAATGTGACTGAGAAACTGTGCAATCAAAGAAAAGAAATCCTGTGTCCTTCTTGTGAATTAGCAGTTTGCAAGTCGTGGATTCACATCACAGCGGTCGGCTTCTCCTTCACTGGGATTTTCTTTAACGTAAGAATCCCGCTGTTGTTGAATCGAGGCTGTCTGCTTCGGTTACAGAGGACGTATTAAGATGCAACGAGCTCCGATTTTTTATTTCAGTGTGGCTTCTTTACTGTCACCTCACTTTGGGCTTGGAACATGCGGAGAAGTCCCAGATGCCGGGGACTGAGGGGAGCTCTGGTAGGTCCGCAACAGCACTTTGTGCTTGGTGGCTTCCTCTGTGCGACGGCTTTGTTGTTCCACCAGGAACTCTTTAAGTCGGCTGGAGGCGAAGGTGAGAGTCTGTCTCCTGAGCTTCATCAGGTAGGAGTCCTGCAGCCAGGCATGTGTGAAGCAATCTTTTGTAGTCGGGCGGGCCCTAAAAAACATATTAGGTAGCATTTGATATTGTTCTTGTTTAAAAAAAAAACAACTTATAATCAACTTTTTTAAAATGATAATCACCATGGGTAACTGCTCAACATCTTCTTGAGAAATGCAGAGGCACTTTGAGACACATTTGGGTACAGTTTCGTTGGGTCAAACTTGGCCATCAGGATTTTGGATTCAACATGCTGAAGGTCCTTATCTTCAAAGGGGAGGTGACCACTAAGCCTGGTTGAAGAGACACAGAAAAAATAAACAGTCAGGTTGCTTATTCCAAAATGTAAATATGCAAAACATCGTATTTGTTTGACTGAATTTAAATACAATTCATCCTATTCACTCTGGCGTTAAGGGTAAAGGTCATTAGTGGCACGAAGCAAAAAGAAAACTTACATAATGTAGGTGACAATGCCAACAGTCCAAATATCTGCAGGAGGACCAACCACTTCGCCTTTCACCATCTCAGGAGCTTGGATCACATTTATCAGAAGAGGAAAATTTAGAAAAGCAGAAGATTTTCAGATTTAGTAGAAATTCCTTCCATCGAAAATATTAAGCATATAGAGCCTGCATTTCTTGATCCTTACCCATGTACTCCAGCGTTCCTGGTCCTGATTCCTGCTGCTTGAGGCTGAGGGGGTTGAAGGTCTGCGCGCTCCCAAAGTCCACAATCTTGATGGCGTTGAGGTTGGTCACCATGATGTTGTCAGGCTTGAGGTCCAGATGGAGGATGCGATGGTTGTGGAGGTACTCGACCCCCTGGACAATCTGGACCAGGTATCCCACCACATCGTCTTCAGAGTAACGAAACCTTTTTGTCAGTGAAAGAGGAGGTTCACGTGTGATTATAGGACACAGACAGGGAGAGTTCAAGCAGCATATCCTGAATAAATTAATGCTAATTTAAATTTAAAGTGTTGAGAGATTGATGAAAGACTGATTCATTGCCAGCCTACATCACCTGAGAGCTCAGCTGATACGCTTTTATGCAATCAATCTCATTTAGGGCATATTTATTTTATATCTTCAAGCCACTTTGCAACCCACTTCACTCCTAGCTTATCTCTGCTGCTCCCGAATACAGCCATGGTGTGAAATACAACTTAAAGCAGAATCAAATAACAACCTCCTTTTCAACCTTAATGACTCCAAGTAAGAATCTTCTTTTTAGACTCCTGCTATGCAAGTTTGTCTGAGTTTGTGTGTCAGTGTGAGTCAACATATCCACCATCCTACCTGTCTATAAGGCTGTATAGCAGCTCTTTGCCAGTGCAGTACTCTGCCACCAGCACCAGGTAGCGTGGTGTGATGTAGGCTTCGTGGAGACCCATGACTTTTTCATTGTGAAGAGATTTCAGGATTTCATACTCCTTCAGGATCTCCTGCTTGTTCTCTTGAATGTAGGGAATGATCTTTGCCATGTAGATTTTACCTGTCGCATTCTCTCTGCACTCTCGGACGACTCCAAACCGACCCCTGCCAATGATAAGTCCTGATTAGTCCTTTGCACAACGCAAATAAAAGCTTGACCATGTGCATAGATTTTTTCTCAAGTTATAACTTTCAGAGTAACGTCAAACAAATATAAATTTAACAGCAGTCTCAACATCTCTTTGATCCACCAGCTTCTGAATTTCTTGTTATCCTAACTCTGATGTTTCTTTGCAAGATTCATGTCTTTTTCCCCCAAAAGGACAATATCTATCTCACCTCGCTTTCTCATCTAGGAAAGTGTACGGTTTCTGTGGAACTCCCTGTCGTAGAGCAGTAGAGGGTGTAGCGCGTCCCGATGGGGTGCCTCTGGCGGGGGTACTGGCTCCATCACCGATGGGACTCAAGCTGGAGGTCTGTAGTACTTGTGGGGTAAAGGACACCGGAGTCGGGGCCACACGAGCAGTAGCAGTGATCGTGGGGACATATGTGGGTACTGAGGCCACGGTTGGTTTTGTGGGGGTCGAAGGTGGGGTTACAACAGAAGGTGGGGGTAATACAGCTGCAGTCTGTGTCATAGGAGTCACCACATTTACTGGACTCTGAGGTTTGGGGAGGACAAAGGGAGAGGTTGCTTTGGAGGTGGATGATGAAGGGAGAGTGGGGCTTATTTTTTGTGTGCCATCCACTGTTGCACCTGCAGATGGCAATGAAGGGTTTGTTGAAGGGCCGGAAGGCGAGGAGGTTAGAGGGATAGGAGTCACCACAATTGTAGATGATGGAGATGCAGATTGAAGATAGGATGCATCAGTGAGGGCTTTATGTTTTGGAGTAGAGGAAGTGGAGGTGATGGTGGAGACCGTTGATCTGGGAACGCTATTTTGGACTGGTTTGTGTGAAGGGAATGTCACTGAGGAGGTAATCACAGGTGGGGTTGGGGCTGTCTTTACAACAGCAACGGTAGGTGAAGCTCCTCCAACTGTGTTAATAGAGTGACAGATTAAATACATCAATTATTTACTCAGTATATTAGCTGCTTGTAGCAAACTACAGTTTTTAAACATGTTGTTTGTTGCGTAGCTTTCTTACATTTGTTTTTGTTTGGTTTGAGACAATGTACATGGTCTGGATGCTTTTCATACTATGCCGTGGCACTACCAGTTAATGAAAATGCAGGATTTTCATGATTTTGTTATAGACTGTATATAAAAAATGGAAGGAGCTACCACAAGTTAGCATTTTGACTCTCAAAGTCTTGCTTAGTTTTAAACCAGATATTATAGAAAAGACTGGATCTGACTGAAAAGCATCGGATATTGATCCTAGAGTAGCATCTTGTTAATGACAGACGTACCAGGTCTAAAATCAAGATAAAGACCCCCCAAAAGACCCCCCAAAATCAGACAACTACCTTTGAGCAAGTACTTGGTGATGGTGGAAAGGAAAAACTCCCTTTTAACAGGTAGAAACCTCCAGCACAAACAGACTCAGGGACAGCTACGTGGCAATTAAGTCCATTAACCCATTAACAAAGAGTCATACATCAAGTATGGTCATTAATATGGTCATTAAAAAGAGAAGGGGTTTCCCTTTGCTTTCTATTGGAGGGAATGCAGTTCACTTGGGCTTGCTAATATTGTGACACACGATGGGATTTAATCCATAGCTTGTGCTTTGGTGTGATGCTTTTAGAACAGTTTTGTTTTTCTAGCTCTGTTCAGCTTTTTGTCCATGTATGCTCACTCTTTAACAAGCAGTATTATACCTGTGGGCGCCAAGCTAACTGGCCTACAACAGTTGCTGTACGGCCCCTGTCCGGCCTTGTTCACACAGGCCACGCGGAACTTGAAGGTGCCACCTGGTGGCAGGTCTGTGACATTGTAGTAGCAGTCGGCAATTCCAGTGGCTACAGTTAACCAGTTCGAATCACCTGCAGGACGGAAAGGAAATAAAGAGTATAAGATGTTGCTATAAGGTAATATGAAACTAAATACTGAATTTTGATTGGTATTTATTTAATTTTACATGTTGTACGAATGATTCTAGGTATAAAAATGCTTGGTTTAGTATTAGAAAACAAAGGTGAATACATTAATGCAACATTTTTCTATTTTGTCCTCTTTGAATGGAAAAACAACCAAAGAAAAAAGAAGTAGTTTAATTAATATAACACCCTATGGCAGCATTGATTAACACATAAAGTATTGATTTTGTGAATAAGAAGCCTGTGTTCAGTCAAAGGAGCTTGCAAAGAAAAGCGTCTGGACTTCTTTAAGTTAGAAGCTTCTCGGATGAGAGGTGAAACGTCTTCAAGTAATTTAAAGAAGTCCAGACGCCTTTCTTTGCAAGCTCCTTTGACTACGATGACCTGGATGACTGAGAACCTTCACAGACACAAGCCTGTGTTCAGTTTGCCTCCTGAAAAATAATCTGTCATTACATCTCATTTTCTGTAAAAGCACGGCGAATCAGACCTGAATTAAAATGTAAATTAGGTAGTGGCACAGTGTTTTGTGAGAACGTACATTAATTCTCCCTGCCAAAGATTACTTTCTTTTTTGATCAATGATCAGTTAAAAATTCAGAATCTACTCCCTTCTTCATCTGCCAAATGATGATTCATTGGCCATAATGAAAAAAAATTCTGACAGCAGCTCTGGTACACTCACTATTCCCTCGTGGACTGAGTCACTTTCTCCATCTAAATGGTGTCTGTAGATTTGCAAACTATCATCTCTGGAGAATTCTCCTCACTGGGTTAAAAACCTTACAAAAGTTACCTCTTAGGAACTTAAAACGTAGAGTTAAATTATTTTATCCTGATGTGAAAGGCCATAATGACACAGTACACAAAGGGAAGTTTTTAAAAAACAACAACAAAAAAACCAAAGTGAACAATGATCTCCTCTAATCAGAAGTATTTTTAAGGAGAGAAACTTATAGAATAAAACTCACCCTCGGTTTTTCTTTCCAGAATGTAGCTGCATGGAGATTTTGTCTCAGATGGCTTCCACAGCACCAGGGCTGTGTTGTTATAAGTCTGAGGAACTTCAGGGGTCCCTGGTCGTTTGGGGACACCTTCATTGGATGAAGATAAAAAAAAGAGTTGGAATTTAAGAAAAGAGGAAAACAACAAGTAATGTAAGTATACACTGTAAGGACTGCCAATTATCCTAGTAAGGATTCACAAATACCTACACATAAGAAATTGCAGGGAAATCTATTTGTGTTTAAAAGAAGAAAAAAAAATAGTGACCAATATACTGAATTTTTAAATCACCAAATATCGGTATCAGTCTTACAAATCGTATATCAGCAGGCATGCACCAACAGACTAATGAACTGAGATGAACTGAACTAACTAAAGAAATGAGCCTTTCAAGCACTCAAAGTGGGCAATGTTGAAACTACATGGGAGGCATAAGCAAGAATAATATTCTGGGGCCTTTACAGTAAATATTCTTACTTACTTACCAAATATCAGTTTTAAGCTACCATATTTCTATAGATATATCATTTTAGTACCTAAACTGTTATCGTTTTGTTGCCTAACTATAGTAGCTTGCAAATAAATAGCTACCATTAGCTTTTAATAGCTAAATATACATAGAATGCTAAAATCCTAACATGATATTGAAAAATCGATGGTTTTAGCTAAAGGCATATTGCATATTGCATGACTTCCAGTGGACTTGGATTTTGGAGTATGTCACATTGTCTCTACAGAAGCCTTTTTGGTGGCCAAACTATAGGACTATCATCACTTGCTATATGTGAGAAAAAATATTTTTAACTACCATAGCTACTACTGATCATTTTAATTCCATAAAGCAAGACACATGATTTCACAGGTCTGATCCGAGTAGGCTCTTTTAGTTGTTTGTGATTTTACAAGTTTGTGAGTCTTATTTGTCTGAATAAATATATGTGAGCAACTTTCAGTTGTGTTCAAACCTTGGTAAAAGGCGCTACCTGGTGCTAACAGTACTAATCCTTGGTGTTATTGCTGTTCGATTATTAATCATCGCTCACGGGTGGATGTTTTTTTTCATTGCACTTTACTGCCTTTTGTGTTAGATATTCAATGCTAAAATGTTTTCATGTTTGATTATTGTTACTTTCTTTTTCTATAAACTGTAGATTTCCTCTGCCATGTTTAATCTTCATCACGGTTGTTGTTTAGTTTATATTAGATTTATGTAACAGATCTGATCACTGACTTATATGAAAATATAAAACAGTTCAATTTAATGTTTGAGTTGCAATGAAATGAAACCAAACATGACAGGATAATTTGGTGCTCTATTTTCACAAAACATTTCCTTTTACGATGGCCCACTAGCAAGACAATGGAAGGGAGATAAGCTGTCTCAAGTAATACTACACGGCCAAATCTGTAGGAAAACATTCAAAAGCAACTGACTGCACCTGACATCTAAGAAATATACTTTCCACCAAAGCCCCCAAAGTCTCATTTTTTCTGTTGCATTTGTAAGCAGACTGCTGCTCTTAATATAGCCTCTTTGTGGAAAGGCATGATTGAAGTTTAGAGTATGCCCTGCCCCAGTTGGTTTTGATCATCATGTACAAAACTGCAGGGAATACGGTATCATTTACTTTTAATAGGTGATAATTATGAGAAAATCCCAAAAATCCATTAAGTTAATCTACTGTAAAATGAATCCATTGGCAATAATGTTCATTTTAGTGTTATTATTCATACCATTCTCAGTGCAATTAAAATTCAATAATGTAAAAAGCATCACATTATGAAAATTACTGTATGTCTGGCAGGAAAATGAGCAGCTCTTCCTCTGTGAAGAGTGCTAAGTTCATGTTCTGTTGCTGCTGCAATGTATGGGGCTGGAAATGGTGTACTGGAAAACTGCAGTTCCTCAAATGACCACTTGAGACACTGCTCCAAAAACAAGATCCCCACACACTACCATCTAAAAATGTTCACCTTTACAACTTCTGCAACTTCTAATCAATATATTTAACAGACAGGTACAAAAAACATTTTTAGTGTTTATTGCTAACGTCCCCACTGATGACAATTGCAGGAGAGGGTGGAGAAATATATGTATTTTTTCCATTCTATAAAACAAAAATTTAACTAAAACGTAAATAGTTATGGAATGTTATGGAACAGACAAGTGACTTACAAGCTATGGAAAGAGTACAGGAGGTAGTAATAGTAGCTATGGGGTTGGATGCTACACATTCGTAAACCCCGGCGTCCTTATAGGTGGATTTTCTGATCATTACAAGCTGTCTTCCATCTGGGTGGGAGATTAGGTTGACTCTGTCATCCACCTCCAGTGGTTTCCGATCTAGAATACACAAAAGCATTAACGAATTATCTGCACTATTTACATTATTTTGATAATTGATAAAGCTACCTTTCATCCATGTAATTTGTGGTTGTGGGCTACCAGCTGGAAGGCAGCTAAGAGTGACAGGTTCCCCCTCCAGCAGGACGTGGTCTTTCAATTTGATGTGAAACACTGGAGCAAAATCTGAAGCAGAGCGGACAAACTGTTGGCTTTTTGCCTCTTCTTTGGGGACGCTTGAGGGCAAATCAGATTGGGAAGGCGTTTTGTCTTTCTTGCCCCTTGTCAAACCCCACCTGTCCCACCGTGACCTTCTCTCACTCTCAGAATGGATGCTAGAAGTGGATTCAACTGATTCCTTAGACCCTGAGGCGCCAGTTTGTTTTGCTAGCTGATTCTCAGGGATTCCCATTCCTTTGAGTCCACGGCCCTCAGACTGAGAGTGACGGTGGCGGGTAAACAGGGGTGTGCGCTTTCCCTCTGAATCTCCTTTTCTCTCTTCAGACTGACTGCGTATTTTTGCAGATATTCCTGCCACTTTGTTCTCAAACCTATGTTTCATTGCCAGGACAGGAGAGTCTGTGACCTTGTGTAAATCCCCTTGAGCCAGCTCTTTCTCTGTGTCTTTATTGTTCCTCTCCTCTGACTGAGTCCTTAGTTTGGCAGAGATTCCTGCCACTTTGGACTCAAACTTACGCCTCATGGCAGATACAGACGACTCCTCAGCTTTTCCTTGCTCCCTGTCATCCACATTCTTCTGTGTCCCTCCACCATTCAGTTCCTTTGTATCCAAAGACTTACTGCGACCAACAGCCCAAGACACTCTCTTGCTTTTAGCCGTTTCCTGCACATTGGATTGCTTATCTTCTTGTGATTTCTGAACCTTCTTCTCAGTGGATGGTGACCTCTTGGCCCGCAAGGAAAACCTTCCAATTAAACCAAGGCCTGTTTCTTGGTCATCTCTTCTTAAATCTTGAACAGATTTCGATTTCTCCTTAAGTCCTGACGATACCATTTCTAGAGGCGCCCCTCTTGGTGCAGGCCTATAAATCTCTTCAGCCCCCTCATTTGCTTTTCTACTTAATACAGGCGATTTCTCCTCTGATTTGTTTCTGGTGAGTTTTTTGAGGCCACGGGTCAAAGACGATTCTCGCTTTTTAAACCTCGCTTCAAAGAGCTCCTCTGAGTCAATGTCTTTGATGTCTGTTCTGAGAATAAGCTGGCGAGGGATGGAAGGAAGGTCTGGGTTTGATGAAGAAGAGACAGAACCTGGAGATCGCTCAGGTGTTGCTACTTTGGCAAATACTGCTGGATGTTCCGGGGATGAAGATGCATCTGCAGACTTTGTTTTGGCTATAGTAGAAGGATCCTTGGATTGGGGTTTGTCAGATGTTTGAGACTGCCCTGCAAATGATGCTTCTTCACTACTCTGTGACATTTCCTTGTCTTTCACTTTCTGCTTGCTGATATGTAATGCCTGGTTTTCTTTCCTCTCTTCTTCATCCTCCTCCTCCTCTATTATTATTATAGGAGTAATAACAGAAGGATACGCATAATCACATTCTTCTTTGTCTGCCCCTTCTATTTGGGACTTGGTCCTTTTTTCTTTCATCCCTTCTTCCTCACCAAGTTCGCTCATATGTTTTTCCTGTTGGTCTGGTCTTCCCTGTGCTGTGGTTGAGGCAGACTCCGCTTTTGTGTCTTCTGTTAGTGCAGACATCGAGGTTGCCTCCTGGAGCTTCTTCCCTACTATGCTAGAACTACCCACAGATGGTATCTCTAAGGGGGCTCCAAACCTTCTGTGCAGGGGCATGGGCTCAGAATCCCCCTGAGTGAAAGAGGTACTTTTGCGAAAAACTTTAGTCTTTGGCGTGTCTTCTCCTGGACTCTCAGAGGAAGCTGCTCTGACGAGTGCTGACGGCCCAGTTCTTGATCTCCTCAAATTCCGATCAAGGGATCCTGTTTGCCTCTCATCTTCAATGCCGAGTGTTTCAAAAAGGGGCCCTCGAAGGCCACTCATATTTTTGTCCACATTTCCTCCCCTGAGCAGCCGTTGTCTCATCAGTTCCAGTTTTAGGGCGTAATCCTCCTGGCTTAACTTTGTAGCCCCAGGGCTTGGACTGCGATTGGGTAGTTCCATGGAAACAGCCTTTTTCAAACTCTTGTTTCTTTCTTCTGATTCCTTTTCTGCACTTTCTTCTTCTGGGTCAATGTGGAGAAGCAGCGCTGAATCGGCAGAACTCCCCCTCCTTATTGTAGACCGCCTGGCTTTTGTCTGGGATTCATCTGACTCCACACTTGATCCTTTTTTCAAGGGAGCTCGTTTTATATTTTCTGTTTGCGCCTCATTTGGGGTTATGTCTTCATCTTTTATGCATTTAGTAGCCCCTCCTCTATTATTTGCACCTATGCTTTCCTTTTTCCTTGTCCCATCTGCAATGAAACCGTGCCGTCCCGTGACATCTTCATCCCCTGGGATCTCATTGAGGGAGACCCTGGAACCCGAGAAAACCATGGACAGTGGCATAGGAATAAAGGGAAGCTCATCCACATCTGCATCTGAATCAGACGAAGAGGAGGGTGGCGGGGAGCCTTCTTTTAAATGCCGGGCCACAGCAATGAAGACATGGCTGCTTGAGTCATCTAGGAGCTCAGGGATGGACCGCATCACCATTTTGGATTTATAGCTGATGAGGGAACGCTGAAATAGTTAGCAGAGGATTTTGTAGGATTAGTCTCTAATCTAAGTACGCCCCTGTTTCCAAAACTCTGTATAAAGTGTGAATAAAAGCAGAGTGCAAATCATTTTAACCATTTATTTAACTGTAAACCAAAGAGCGACCGAAGAATCTAAAAGCCTCAGGTTGCATGTTAAATGTCAAAGTTCATGAGAGTACAATTAGAAAAAAATGAACAAGTATCGCCTTTTTGGAAGGGCTTCTAGGAGAAAACCTCTTATCTCTCAAAAGAACATGACAGCATGGTTTAGGTTTGTAAAGCTGCATCTGAACAAACCCCAAGACTTCTGGAACAATGTCATTTGGACAGACAAGTGGAGATGTTCGTCCATAAAGCACAGCATCATGTTTGGAGAAACATGATAAATCTATTCAAAAACAAGCCTCAATCCCTCAGCAGGAATCAGCCTGTGGTGTCTTTATGCATTTCACCCTAATTTCCAAATGCTAAATGAACGTTTTGTCGTCTGTTACCTGCCATCGCCTTCGAGCCAAAACTTGTTTTAGCATAGCTGTGCTGATGCTTTTGTTTGTTGGTGACTGCAAGACAAAACAATAGGTGGGAGCACTATTAACAGAGACATAACTACATCTCATGAATCAGTGACACAGTCGACAGGATGGTAGATGTTCCAGTGATAGCTCACCTTGAACCAAGGATGACGAAGGCACTCGATGGCACTTGCCCTCCTAGGTTTGGGACACAGTTACAGTTCAGACATGTTTAATCTGTGAACTGTAGCACAGTTGCATCATATACAGTATTTTTATGGTACAAAACTAAGAGGCATCAAAATGCTTACAGTCTGTCCACCACCAAAAGCTTGATGACAAATCCTTTTGCTTCTTTGCAGAGGTCAGAAAACATGCTCTCCTCAAACGCCACATTGTAGTTCCTGATGTTTAAAGCAGTGGCTTTGTCATTCTCGCCCGCAAAAGGTGACACGCCGGTCAGGCTAAAGCAAAAAAAGAACAGGTGTTTTATTTAGCAAGATGTCAGATTGACTGATTGGGTTTAAATACACACATGCTGTGAAGAAGAAAAAAACGTACCAGAGGTAAGTGATGACACCAACAGGCCTGTGGGAGAGCAGGACACATACGTGACTTGGAATTTGAAGAGCAACATAAAAGCACAGATAAACACAGAAATTTGATGGACTTGCAGATAACTGTGAGTGTATATAGTGCCTGCTGTGCCTAGTCACTTCTCCATGCCAGAGAACAGGTGGCTGACCATATGTCTGTTGCTGTGGAAACTGGAGTTTGGTTAACAATCTCTGGAGCGACATATTCTGGTGTGCCGTATTTGCAGTAGTGCTCCTCTGAAGTCTCCAATTTAATGGCATTCCCGAAGTCGCAAATGCGGATCTGATCACTCCCTGTACTTGCCATCAAAATATTTTCTGGCTAGAGGGGATGTGTACAAAAACAACAACATTAGGACTCATAAAAGGTAAATCAAATCTGATACAGTGCTTGTGGTGGGACAGATGGATACCTTTATGTCGAGGTGAGCTATATTTTTTTGGTGGAGATAGCGAAGACCCTCCAAAACCTGCTGAACACTGCTGCGGATCTGTAGCATGAAACACAACAGGAGTGAATCCTGAAAGGCACGTTACATAATGAAAGCGCAGTGCAGTCAGCAGAAAGACACAAACCTGCAGTTCCATGACTGTTGTTTTCTTGGCCATTCTTTCCAGCAACTCCTCGTGACATCTTTGTACAAGAGTTAAGAAAAAAGAAAAACAAAGCTGCTGCTGCTGCAGCTACTTGATTGCATAGTCTGACTGGTAGGTGCATGAGAAATGAATTATAAATGAGCAAAACTCCCCCACACTCTATCTCTTGCTAATTCCTCTCAGCAGCGATGAGTCAGAGAGAAAAAGCTCGGCTGCTTCATTCATGCCTCCGGGGGGTACGGGGGGACGTTAGGATTAATGCTGTGCATCTTGTACTTGAGATGCATTTAAGTGCACTTTTGTTTGACAATGTAGAAGATAAAATGTGAATAGGAGATGCAGGAGGAAAAAACATTTTTCTGTAAAACGTAGATTACAGATTTCACTGTATGTTCTAGTGAAAGGATACAAATCTGTGATAAGCACCACCACGTTCTTCTTCTCAAAGGCATCATGGAAGTAGAGAATCCTCTCGTTATCCAGCTCAGACAGAAGCTCCATCTCTCTGAGAGCCAAGGCTTTCCTATTTCCGCGAGCAGAAATGAATTTGGCAGCAAACTCGGTCTTTCCGTTCTTGCGAGTTACTCTCTTCACATAGGAGTAGGCCCCCCTGCACCCACAAACACAAAGTGATGACATTAATGGTTTTGTACATGTCAGCCGTGTTGTTTTTTTTTATCCATTTGTTTTCAAGACTGATTTCTCTTTGATAGAAGTAAATTATAAATATTATTATTATTATGACAGTAATTTGCTTAGGCTGCTGCCCCCGCGACCCGGCCCCGGACAAAGCGGATGAAGATGGATAATTAAGGGCCAGATTTACTAAGCAGGGCAAAATTGCACTGAGCACAATCCTTTCGTCAATTTGTACACTTAAATATTCTCCTCCCTGTACTATGTGCTAGTGAAATATGGGTCAGTTGCAAAACTTCCCAGTTGCCACCTCTACCATGCGATCCTGTCATTGCGCTCTCTTTGTAAATACCAATTGTACATTTCTTACACAAACCCAGTTTGTTCTGGCGCAATGCGTTAGTAAAGTTGGGCTGAGTATGGTGGAAATTCGTTTTAGACCATTATCAGTTTACACATGTAACCACACTTATTACCGATACGTGTGGGTCATGGAGCAACATCTATAGATAGATGCGAGTATGCCTGCCAGTATTGCTTCAGTGAAGTGAGGTGTTGTTTTAAGCCTGAGGGCTGGACTTCTTCCTTCTGTTTGGCAGACTTGCTGTTGTAGATTTGCTGCTGAGCTTGAGGTTTGGACTGATGTCCTCACATCTCTAGACTCTAGGCATAAAGAGGAGTTCATGGTCGGCTCAATGGCTGCAAGGTGCCCAAGTCCTGTGGCAGCAAAACAAGCCCAAATCATCACCCCTCCACCAATGTGCTGACAGTTGGTATGAGGTGCCATGCTGCATTTGGTTTTCTCCAAAATTCAGTGCATTGTGACCAAATATTTCCACTTCAGTCCCATCTGTCCAAAGCACATTGTTCCAGAAATCTGGTGGTTTGTTCAGATGCAACTTTGCAAACCTAAGCTGTGCTACCACGTTGTTTTCAGAGAGAACCTTTTCACCCATGCAGGCCATTCCAACAACCCATGTTTTGGTCAGTCTTTTTGTAATTGTACTATATAACTGATTTTCACAGGACTCTCTGTCTATACACACACACACACACACACACACACACACACACACACACACACACACACACACACACACACACACACACACACACACAC